TCTCCCTCCCCCTTCTCTGGTGAATCCTCTCATCACCCCTGCATCTCTGGCCTGTACCTCAGTTCTGTGTGCATAAATAAACAAATCTTTAAAAACAGTGCAATACAGAAGTCTTTTAAAGGTCTGCGAGAGAATGCAGCTCCATTTGGACCATGCAGAAGAGTTGGAAGATGCTGGCGAGGGTTCTCCCACAGGCAAACCACAGCAGCTTGCTCAGGGTTCAAGCAACACCAACAATGAGTGAGAAATACCTGTCCACACATGCCAATTCCTAAAGACAGCAGCAAGGACAGGTTTTGGGCTGCAGCTCTGCGTTCTTTTGGCTGTGGAAGGATACACAAAAACCAAAACTCTGCTGTTGGAAGGGTGGATTGGATAGATGGATTCCAGCAATTCTGTGTGTAGGAACGCCAAGCCAGAGACTGCTGTTATTTTGACCAGTATTCCGTTTGTTGTATCTCCGAGAGCTGATGAGGTCTTAAAGTGCAGTTCATTCCAATAAGCAAAGCTGGCAGAAGAACCACACAGCTGTTCTGGCAGAGGAGGGCGTAATGACTGTTGGAAGTAAGAACTAGTGTGGCAGGAAAGAACAGCATGAGTGGGGAAAATGCTGGATGGAGCTAAATGTGAAAGGAGCCATCTGGGTTAGAGGTAATTCAGGGGAAGTGTTTCAAGAGTGAAAACTTCTCTGTCATCCCCAAGGGCTGCCAATGACCTCTGCTTAGTAGGAGCTGAGCTTGGAGTGGTGTCACCTGCCGGCCGTGACAGCAGATTCCAGCACAACTGTCTAAAGTCTCGTGTCTGACTTGAGTAAGGACACTAAACCTTTCCAAAACAATAGCCGATTGCTGCATTTTATAGTATCTTCATGCTATTTCCTACTATCTTTACAACACCCCTTCACCTGGGTGGTGGAAACCCTCATTTTCTCTCTCCTACCTTACTGTGGTTCTGTCCTTACTGCACACAAAGTGCCTCCATCTTTAAAAGCTATTCTACGGAATGTTTTCCTCTGGGAAACATTTTCATCCTTGATAGCCAAGTGGAGTCTTGTGTGATTTCACTGAAGCTATTCTCTCTGAGGTCGGTATGGAACTCCTAATCAATGTAATTTTTCCTTCTTGTTTCATTTGAATATTCTGCAGTCACTGTTAAACACTCAGGCATTCTGAAAACCCACACACATTTTTTATCACTGACACAACTTCTCCTGTTTCGGCATGTACCCTTTAACAAGTCACTTAAACTATTTTGTCAGACACTCTTCTTAAATTCCTGATGTTCCCCGGGTTGCATACTTGACTCACTCCTCTTGTTCAATGTATTTTTTCCGGGATTTAATCTGTGATGGTTATTTCAATTCTCCCCACTACCAGTGACTTCCAAACCTCTAACTCTAGCCTACATCTCTCTCCTGGGTTCTTGCCTTATACTTCTGACAGCCGATAATAGTATCTGCACAAGATTTAATAGTAATCAGCTCTATTTGCTTAAAAAGAAAGAATAGCACAGTGAGATAGAAGTTACGTAGGTGATTGTGAGCAAAGATTCTAATGCATTCCCATTTAATTTATTTTTCTGTTCTCATTGAGCCCCTCCAAGTTCTCCATGGCTAAGAAGATGGCTCAAGGGAAGAGTCCTGTTGAGACACTCTGAGCAAAGCCCTCAACATAACATTAGCAACACAATAGTGGAAGAGGAAAGAGAAAGCTACTTGAACCACTTATAGATGCAATTTAAAATGAAAACAGGGGCCCTCCCTGGTGGCATAATTGTTCAAGGTACAACATTATGAAACTATCTGCAGGCATTGCAGCACGAGTTCGATTCCCAGTCAGGGAGCTGACCCACAAGGCGCAGCAGACATCTCCTGTCTCACCTGCTGCGCCTCTCAGCAATGTATTTCAGTAGAAATGCCTGTTCTGCTCCCCTCTCTGTCTCTGGTGAATCCTCTCATCCCTTGCACCCCTGACCTGTACCCCAGTTCTTATGTACATAAATAAATAAATCTTTGAAGAAAAGAAAATAAAAACAAAAGCATACAAAGGGATCATAGTAATTTAAACATGTTCATAGCCAGTACCTTTCTCTGTATTGGTAGGAAGTTCTCCATAAGTCAAATTAGAATGAATTCACTTATGTTCCCTAGGAGAAAATCTCAGAGTGGTTAGTTAATTTTTTCGCTAGAGGTAAGGTTTCTAAGAGAGTGAATTTTTGGATTATGTAGGTTGACAGTAGATGTCTGAATTCCAGGTCTGGAGTTTTATTACTAGGATATGAGTATAGGATTTGGGTTTTCTTCAAATAATAATTCTATTACCTCATGGACTTTTGCCTGTTTTTATTCTTTGATGTAGGCCCAGCACCACAGGTATAAATATTTTCAGATCTTCTTTATGTAAAATAGAATGGGAGAAATATTAAAATCTGAGGTCTGAGTCTGCCCACTAACTTGGAGTTCTTTATTTTAAACCCACGTGCTTATATTGAATGGGTATAAAGATTCACAAATCACATAACCACTAATGCTCTGAATTCACAGAAACACTTAAAATAATCTGTATGTCAATGGCATTTAGGCATTTAACTCAACAGATCTGTCAGGCAAATGTGTATATATATTTTGACACATAGTGAAGTAACCACCCACTTATCTGGGTAAATACAAAATGTACCAATTCTAGCAATGTATTTCATTGGTCCACACCAGTCAGAATTCACCAGAGCTACATTTCTTCAGGGCGAGGATGTTGGCTGGACCAATTCTAATAAGGAACAAGGAACACTAGCAAAATTTTTAACTAACCCAGGTCTTACGTAATCCCTTATTAACAGCTATGTTGTCTAATTCTGTATTTCCTATTTATTTTTATTTCAAAATTCACTGCCCCAAGTAGCATTGGGTAATGTTAGTAGTGTATCAGATATATTGTAAGCTCTTTGTAAGTATTATCCCATGTAATTTTACAACTTTATGTGGTAGTTACTATATTATGACCATTGGAGGTCCACTAAGTCAATTAACTTGCCCAGAGTTGCAGAACTATTAAATGGAAGAACTGAAATTTGAACCCATGTAATCTGAAGACAGAGTCCATATTCATACTCAATCTGCTACATTGTTTCTTGTTAAATTATATTGCCAATAAATGGCAAATATATATAATGCCAGTCAAAACTTCTGGAATCTTTTGGGAGAAAACTGGGTATAATTGAAAAACCCAGCACACAGTGTATTAGATCTAGAATGTACCTGAAGCATCATCGATAGATGATTCAGTGTCATGTACATCCTGAGTATTGATCCCTTTCTTGACTGTCAAATGTTGGGACATATCAATGCCTTCTTCTTTCCTGTGTTCCTTCTTTCCTGGTGATCTTGTCTAGACTGGTGCATTGTATACATTCTATATATCAGTGACCCCTAATCCCTGAGTTGCAGATTGCTATGTTTAAATTGCTACCAGAAATCTCCATGTGCATGTCTGGTAGGTATCTTTGATATAACACAGCCAAAATCAAGCTCTTGGTTCCCTTCCCATCACTACTGCTTACTGCTAGTATTCTCCATTCCTGTAAATTATAACACCATTCATTGAATTGCTCAGACTGCAAACCTCAGAATTGTGCTTGATTTTCCCTCTGATATCTAACTCATCAGCATATCTTGACATCTGGGCTTTCAAATTTAATGCTACTTCTGACTGTTCTTACCATCTTCACTAATCTTACTCTAATCAAGCCACCGTCTTCTCTGGCCTGAATGTCATCTAATTATTTATACATTGTCCTCTATCACCTATTTTTCTGCACAATAACCAGAATGATCCTGTTAAAATATTAAATGGTTCATGTTACTCTTCAGCTTCAAAGAGTTCAGGTGATTTCCCATGTCTCTGGAGGTAAAATCCAAAGACCTCGTTAACAAGGTTCAACATAAAAATCATCAGCACTTTGTTATTTTTTTCTCAATACATTCCAGTCCTTTCCTTCTTGAGTTCCATTCGAATCAGGGTGGTCCCTTGTTAACCAAGAGGTTGCCGAGATTTATGTTTAACCTATAGAAGGTTTGTGTAACTTTGAAATACACCAAATTTGTTCCCATTTCAGAGTTTGTGAACTTGCTATTTTCCCAGCCTCGAATGACCTTCAGCTCAATAGTTTCATAGTGTGCTCTCTCAGCTCATGCTGCTATTTCCTCAAATGTCAACATCTCTGAAAGGCTTTCTATTTAAATGCCAGTCCTGTTGCTCCCTCTCTCCCCCTTCTGGTGTATGTCTCTTCCCAGCACTTGATGCTACCTGACATTCTATTCTGTCCTTTAGTGACTTACGGTCTGTTTCCCATGTTTCTTCATGATATGGGGACTTTTTCTTCTTTGGTTGCCACTTTAGTCTCTAGCACTTTGCATTTTCTTGACACAGGATAGATGCTCACTAATTATATGTGCAATGACGGAACTCATTGTTCAGTGATGCTCTGTCATTTAAGGAACCTGAGTATCAGATGGTTTCATCACTCTACCTCTGGTAGAAGCAGCGCTGGTATTCTGGTTACCATATTATGTCTCAGCATTAACTCATTCGAAATATCCAATTCTTTTGAATAATTGTTGCAGTTTGTCAAATGATATTTACCAAGACTCTCAGGGAGGCTAAAAGCATCATATTTTGCCAATGGATAGCTTCACAGTTGATGAATTCCCTGGCATAGCATATTTTAAATAATAAAAATAATAATTTCCTAGCACATTTTAAATAATAATTTCAGGACACATTTAATAGTGATAATAATAATAAAAATGATGGGAAGCATATCTATGTTGTCTCATCTGCAAAACTTTCTTTAGTTCAAGTTTCTGATTCTCTTTCCTAAGGAGGAAATTTGCATTTAGTATCACAAGGGTGTTTAACAACTATGTGCTAAATATCTCAGGTCTCTGAAGTGACATATCAAATAACTTTTCCATTTCTCAAGTTAAACATATGCTGTGTACATACCTTCCAGAATACTGAGCTCCACCTGTTAGGTGATCTCTGGATCTGGAAATCATCCTCATACTCCCAGATAGAAGTGGTACAGTCCTCATAGAACTGGTGCAGGTAGGACCGGACTCCATAGCGCTGGTATCCGCCCTCAGTTGCAGCTAGCACCTTCTTGGAGCCACAGGCATTGCTGCAGGAACTCATCTTTCACAGCTGGAATGAGAGATGCATGTGTATCAGCCCCTCTGGGCTCTGCCCTCATGATCAGAAGGAATTTCAAAGGTGAGAACTAGGTTGGGTAATGTCAGTGACAGAAAACCTCTATGTGAACAATGCATTTTTCTTAGAGAAAGACATTTTAAAAATCCTTTCTTTCCTTTACAATTTTTTATTGAACTAATATTGGCTCATGATATTATGTAGGTTTTGTGTGTGCCTCGCAATGAATCAACATCTGTATATACTGCATTATGTTCACCACGCAAAGTCTAATTCCATATTTCACCATCTAGCCTAAAATTTATTTTTGCTTGATTTTGTTTATTCATTTGATCTGTTTCTTTAGATACCACATATGAGTTAAAGTCTATAGTATTTCTCCTGACTCGTTTCACTAAGCTTAATGCCTTTGGGTCCATCCATGTTGTTGCAAATGGCAAGATTTCATCTTTTTTTCTACAGTTGGGTAGTATTCCATTATGTGTTTGTGTGTTTCTGTATGTGTGTATGTGAGTTTGTTGAGTAGTATCCCATTGTGCATGTGTGTGTGTTTGTGTATATATGTTTAACTCTTGGCTACAATGAATTTGGAAATGCCTGTATTCTTCTGAATCAGTTCTTTAGATGAAACTTAGAAATGAGATAATTGGATCATATAGAATTTCTCCTTTATACTTTTTTTGAGGAATCTCCTTACTGTTTTCCATAATGAATGCACCAATTTACATTCTCATCATAAGTGTACAAGTGTTCTACTTTCTCCACATCTTCTCCAATATTTGTTATTTCTTGTCTTTTGGAAAGTAGCCATTCTCAGAGCGGTAAGGTGATACCTCATTGTTGATTTAAGTTGCATTTCCTTTATAATAAGAGAGAATGAGCATCTTTTCATGTGCCTGTTGGGACCATCTGCATATCTTCAGGGAAGTGTAAAGTTGTATCATTCTTATAAACTTCTTTTCTAGCTAGTGCAAAACTACTCCAAATTCATAATGACTAGAACTTGCCCTCCATAAATGAAACTAGACACAACAGCCAAACTCACTTAAATTATGCAAAAATTCAAGCATGAAATAATGAGAAATGGCAAGAAAGAAATTGATATTTTCATTGTCTTGACAGAAAATCTTTAATCTCTTAGGATCCAAGATTCTTTGTTAAAGAATGAGACAGTCACACTCAGTTATTGCAGATGGAAATTGTCTTGGACTGTTCTTTCAGGTTCTTATAGATTCCCTTGTAGAATCTACACAGTGATACTCTTAGTAGTTTGATAATTTGCCTTTGGGTCTTGTGTATCTTAATGTTTTAATGCATTGCCAAGCTGTACAGAAGCTTTGTTAAAAGCTGCTGAACAATGTGTGCACTATGTTTTATGAATAAAAGTTAGATTAGCCAATCACTTACACTGCACTGACCCCAACATCATATATTTCATTCATTTTTTTGTGGCTACATCTGTCTATGTGGGATGTTAGAGGCTGAGGTGGTGAGTGGGTAGATCCAGCCTTTCTACTGTTGCCCATATGGTGTCTAGTATAAATAAAAACTGTTAAATGAAATTATGTTATGGGTGGATTGTTTGAGATTCTGCCTTTTAAAGATGAAATTTTCAACTATAGTTGACCTAATAAACTAGATTTCGCCTTTGAGAGGGGTACTTTGTTATTAATACATGATAAAAAAAAGTTAATTATTGTGAACTAACAGTTGTGATGAGTAAAGGAATTCTCAGTTATTCTGTTCTTTAGTTTTCTGGTATCTATATAATCAGAAATGTTAGCTACTAACATAAAACACTTGTTTGGATTTCCCAATTATCCTCTAAGTGGGTTTCCTTAGAAATGTAGTCAATCTCAACATGACAAAGCAAGAAACATGATAGAAGAGTACTTTCTCATTTTACCAAATTTTCTCAGGGCTTGCTAGAATCCCAGTGAACAGGAGATATTTGAAATGTTTTCATTTACTTACCAACTGTCATTTCTGGCCTGAATGGTTTCTTGCGAAGAAACCAAAGACCAATACTTATCCAAGAGGAAAAAATATCGAAATTCCTTTTTTTCAAATGTTCCTGTGTAGTCACTTTAGTTTGACTGGAAAAAAATCATGGAGCTAATAACCAAATGAAAGTCAGGAAGAGTTAACATTTCTGTGTCTCACAAAGGGAACCAATAAAAACTCAGCGTACATGTATGCCCTTCGCCACAAATGGATTTTGATTAGACACTGTAGTCAAATTCAGGGAAATATGATTCTGATCTTAGATATGTGATGCGAATAGGTACTACTGATGGTGAACAAAGACCTCATCTATTTTGGCATTGATCAGTATTATATCTAGTGTCTACCTGAATGATTTCTTCCTGTTCATGTGTAGTTACCATCCAGAGAATTCTAGAAGGGGAGTGCAAGGGTGGGGGGAAAGGGATTTTTTTGTGTCTGTTTTAATTTTTAACATTTCAAAAGGATATTTTTTCATAAAAAATAGCAAGATGTTTCTAAGGAAACCTACATTAGAGCAGCAAAATTTAAGGATCAAATTATTTGTTAACATAGTTTTCATAGTTCTAGTGCTAGTGTTACTATGGTTTCTTAAGTATCTTTTATTTAATGCTTATACAAAGAAGGTGACTCATAAGAGGTGATTACTAGTGATTTGTAAGTAGAATAATTTCAAAGGCACTTTGTTTGAAATCAGTTTTCTTTGAGATTTGACATTCCAGTAAAGTTTCAGTCAAGGTGAGAGGAGATTAGTATTACTAATTTTGTTTGTCATTGAAGAAACTGAGGCAGAGAAAAATCATCTGCTAAAGGTTGCAGCATGAATCAGGGGACAGATGAAAGATGACAATACACTAAGCAGGAGTATGGACTGAATCATATACTTGCATGATTAGAACTGACTCCTCTAAATATATATTTTTAGCTTTCCTATAAAGCATCAAAAATTTGACCAGAAAAAAATTACAAAAATAGATGTGATGGGGGTCACAACAACAAAAATCCTTCATAGCAACAGTAAAAGTTATTTTCCTTATGAACTGAAGTTGTTCCTTCTCAGGATTGAGCTTGATTCAGAGCCGGACTGTGTGACATATTGTAGTCATTCCCTGCACAGCTTGTTTCCGGCACAGTAGGTTAAAATGTTTCTGTTTTATAGGATGAGACTCAGTAGTCCAACTTTGCTAAACACAATATGGAGAAAATCACAAAAGAGATAAAAAGTGTCATAAAACAAATGTTTTGAGCCTGAGTGATAGAAGGCTCTACTCTAAATCAGCTTAGATTTTAGGATGTTAGATACATTCCAGAAAATCTCAGTGAGTCTTGTTTTCTCTCTAGGCATGCAAAGCTTAAGAACATGGTCCACACTGTGCTAACTACATAAAGCTTTAATGCTCGTTCTTCATCTGCAATCAAATAGTCATAGCATCTGAGGCAACCTCCCTACGCTATGGTTTCATCATCACTAAAATAAGATGACAGGATCAGATAACCTATAATTCTTAGATGTAGTTTTCCAGAACACTTTGACCATACATTTCCAGAAGCAGTTGGTTATTTTGTTGGATAAGCAAGTAGGGTTATCAGCTTCCTTCCTCTACTTATATCTTCATGAATCCATTGTTAGGTTGTCTCAAATTCAGCTTCCTTATGTTAAACATGAAGCTTTAGTTTAAAGCAATATACAAATTATAAGATGGGTATAAGTTATTTGGTATTAAATAGGCTGAATGGTACTATTTAACATAATACCATAATAATGTCTAAAGTAGTAGTTCCTGTTGGTCTTAGGAATTTCATCCCTCTTTCCAAACATGTAACTGATGGAAATTCACTCATAGGGGAGAATGAGTACTTAGAAGAGCTTGAATTTAACAGCATAACTAACGTGTTGGTGTGGTAATTTTATACCTCCAAGATCTCAACAAGGTTCCATTTACCATAGGAAAACCGGTACCTTTTTGTTACCCCATAGAAGATGCTATCATTATTTGAAATCTACTTGCTCAACCAACAACTCCGGTATCATAAAATGATACATGAAATCCCCTTAAAAGCTGAACAATTATTATGCAGTAAACTAGGGTTGAGAAGAAATAGAAGGCATGGCAAGATTTTCTCAGTTTAGCTCAACCTTTCCTTAAGGAGTGAGGTTTCATGAGAACGCTCATGTCTTTCAGTGGCTATAACTTTTGCAGCATGCAGCTGCAAAAGTTAATCATGATAAATCTATGACTGTTAAGTGACAGGCCCTGGAGGGCTCCTTTCTTTTGAGAAGTCTGTAACATCCCATGAAGTGCATGCATGAGGTCAAGGAGTGGGTGAAAATATTTCCCAGTACTGTATTTAAATGAGTCCATATGAGTGTTCATTCATTTTATACTAGTGGAGGGCACAACTATTCTATACCATTCCAGAGACCTAGGCAAGGAGAAAAATCATACCACAACTCCCTTCCAGTTTCTTCTGAGAGGCTTCCTATAATCAGGCTATAAATACCATATCTATCTCTCTCTCTCCCCACTTGTCTAGATTTGTTTTTATTTTTACAGAGAGCATATTAAACTACTTGAGTGTTATGTGACATATTTAAGATTTGCCAGACCATATACATGATAATATATAAGCCCTATCAAGGGTGGTTTTTTTTTTTTAATCCTGTTTACCATTTTAGTTTCTGTTCTGTTACCTGATCACATTTCCTGTTGTGCTTAGCACATTGGTTTCTAGAATTTTCAGACTCCTTGGCACATAGTCCTACATGGGTTAGTGTGAGTGGGTGATGACCTTGATGGCCCCTTACTCCCCTCTCCTTGTGATTTTTTTAAAGCACTCTATTCCAGATTATGTGAAACAGTGGTTTTGTCTGCTGCAAAGGACTCATAGTTTAGACAAAGAAATACCACTAATGGAATACATGCAACCAGATAGGCACCAAAAAGAGGTATTTTCAATGGTAGGGGGAAATAAATGCTGAGAATCTTTGGAAGAATTCCTGTATTACGTGAATAAAGACATATCTGTGTTATTAAGGTCTCTGTGTACCAACACACTCTAATATCAATTCATTGGAAATGAAAATTTAGGTCTAGTATAAGAAGTTACTTTCTTTTGTTACTTGAATAGAGAAATGGAGAGATAAGTCTTTATGCCTCATGAAGCTCTAAGAACACCAGACTATATTATTTGTCTTCATGGTTTCCTTGAGAGGAAAGAGGCAGATAATTGAGGCAAAAAAAAGAATGAGTGTTTTCCCAAGGCTGCTTGTGTGAGAGTCAGTTGTAAGGGCAGACTCAGGCCTTGTTCTGTTTACTCTCTTTGAAATATCATTCTATTTTTCATTCAGCTTTTCTCTTCTATAAAATCATCCTGAGATAATGAGAGTGAAGCTCCCATTAGAGCTACTTTTCCATAGGGCCATTGTAAAAGGTATAGGCACATAGTTGATTGAGACCATTAATCCAGCACCAAACTAAAAGCACACTTAAATGACTCAGTAAGACTCAGAATGGATACAGGAAGGCATAAAGGTCTGCTCACAGCATTTAACTTGTAAATCTGGCATTCTGGGATTATATAAGTATGACTTTAAAACATGAATATATATTTCTAAGAGTGGACTGTTTGGGAGATACTTTATTTCCAAGAACAGTGATAGAAATTGTTGGCTATATGTTATGAGCTTTTTTATACACTTAGAGTCAGTAAATATTTCTTCTTTACATGCAGACTCCAAGTTTCTTTAAATCTGCATGTGAGACAATTTGCCATACCTTTGAAGTTCTTTTCCTCTTGTTTATTCTTTGACTTTTCTTTTTAATGGCACATTCTTCAGTCCTACTTAAGAAAAGAAATCTCTGCAGAATGTTATATAGTTACAAACCCAAATTTCTTAAGACATTTCTATAACATTTGAAAAATTATTTTAATGTGGACAAAACATTGACAAAGGACTTCTTATTCCAGAGCAAAGTAACTTTGTAAAGAAAAAAAACAAAACAACATTTTCTAACTTTTAGCTCTCATGATAGTTTACGGAGTACTTGGGGTGACATGAATGAAAAGGGTTTTGTAAACTATAACACATTATGTAAATGCTATTTTTATTTTATTATAATTATATGCTATCTAGTGAATAATACCAATTAGACTTACCTCTTTGATTTTACAAATTCAAAGCAAAAAATTACTTGTTTTTCAAATATTCTATAATTATATTCTGCTTGGTCCCTATTCCATTATTTCATGAAATAAATTAATCTTGCAGTCATTGCGTTTTCTAATGTGTACAGACATTTTCTACTTATTAAAGCTCTTTGGATGATTTGCTCATTAGGTTGACTTTTACTCCTATATCCATTTTCTTCCTATTATGATCATTTTACTTTCCATCTGCCTAAGAAAAACAGGTGCCCAAGCCAGATTTAATTAAAAAGCCATTGCTAGCTATAAAGCTACTGGTTTCCTACATTACTCTAGTCATGCCAGATAAAGTAATAATTAGGCCAGATTTTTCAGGAGGGCATTAGGATTTATTTTTGATGAATAAACTCACTCACCATTTGCAGGAGAACCTCAAATACTTGAGAGTAAGCTTAGTTGAAATCTAAAAGACTGTTTCTAGTGTTTCCCAGATTCAGTGTAGATGAAAAATAGCTAAACCTTCTTCCATACTCATTTTTTTGCCCTGAAATTTTATTTTGCTGGTATGTGAGCCGATTTTGGGGAAAAAGCAAGTTATAATGAAATCCTGAATCTGGAGAAGCAAACGAAAACAACCCACTATCTTCTCTGCCTCTCTTCCCTCGCCCTCTCTCCTTCATCTGTGCCTGTCTCTCTCAGTTAACCCCCTCTTCTTTAATCTATCACCTTCCCAGCTTTTGTTTTGTTTTATTGTTGAATCAACTCCACACACCCTGCACGCAAGGCTGGCCTGGTAGAAGGTTTAGGAGCTTTCCAGGGTGCTGAAAACATCTCATCTCTGCCAGAGTCATGAACCAGTTAAACTAATCCCAGCTGTTTAACTCCAGGTTTGTTTTCATTGATGTCATCACTCCTTGTTTGGCCCTCACCCCAACATCATTTTCTAACAAAACAAGGAAGTATGTCTAAGGTCAGATGAAAACACTTGAGATTTTAAGACATGGCAATGAGTAGGGCAAGCAGTTCGGGGTTAAATTCAGCCTGGAAAAGACGTCAAACCTGCTTTGTAAACTCCAAATACATATATATTTTATTTACCCGTTCACATAGCTAACTTTTTTTGTTTCATAGTAAAGAAACTCTTAAGAATACCTCCCCAATTCTTACATAACACAGACCACAAACCGCCAAAGCATAGAGTTGGCTACCCCTGATTTGTATGCTCATGGATTTTAATATGAATGGTTTTTGTAGAAATTTATAAACGTATAACAAAGGGGAATGAGGTGAGGTGAGGTGTGTGTGTGTGTGTGTGTGTGTGTGAGAGAGAGAGAGAGACAGACAGACAGACAGACAGACAGAGAGAGAGAGAGACAGAGAGAGAGAGGAGAGAAGAGAATCAGTGTTTGTACGTGAGGAGAGAGGAAAAAGAGAAAGGGGAGAAAACAAATCGAGCTTAGACAAACGGCACCCCTGGGCTCAGCATCGTTTTACCTGGCCCCTCTGATCCCCTGACCCGTGGAGCAAGTGCAGCCAGCTAGCCGCAGATCTCTCGCTGGGGTCCCATCGCCACCACCGCAGCCGCCGCCGCCGCCGCCGCCGCCGGCTCTGCTCCCGCCTTGCGGAGCTCAACCTGCGCGTGATTGACAACCCAGCGTCCCGCGCGTGCCCGCGCATCTGAGGCCCGCGCAGCTGCCGCTGCCGCTGCCGCTGCCGCCACCGCCAAGAGGGGCCGGGTCTGCGCTGCGCGGGCGAGTGGCAAGTGGGTGGGGCCCCAGCGACGTGCCAGTCTCTCTTCCCGTCCGCTTCCTTGTGGGAGGGTGGCCGGCCATCTGGAAGCTTGTCATGTGCCCTGCTGACGCTTCACCGGGCAGGGCATCTTCTCCACCTTCCTGTCTCCTGTTTTCTTCTTGCCCAGCCCAGTATCTGGCCATCGATGGCTCAAAATGAAACGAGATATAAAGTGAGGAGCCTAATGCTGTCCATTGAATGAACCTTATTACATTCATCGCCACTGGGTTCTCAGTTCCTCGCCTCACCCTGAACCCAACTTCAGGAAGTCTATGTAGTGGAGATGGAAGAACGATGAAGTAGATGAATTAAATGATGACATCCGAGGAAACATACACACACACATGCATGAAGACGGAAGCATAGCAGAAAATTACTGGTGAATGCCTCTGAATACTTGTGGTGTGAGCAGGTTAACTAATAACTACCAGCTTCGTGAGAGTTTCTGCAGACCAGAAAGTGGTATTTAATGAAAATGATTACTGAAGCAGTTAATATTTGCATTGCCATTCTATACACAAATAAGACTTAACATTTACATAGTGCTTACTACACCCCAGACATGGCACTAAATACATTGCATAGCTGCATATTCTATGCATACTAAATCATGAAATCCTCATCTCAGCTATGTGGTAGATATTTTTTATCTCAGTTTCACAGAGGAGGAGACTGAGGTATAGAGATGTGACTTAGATTCAATGACACAGCCCCACACATCTCTGTTAGAGGTCACACATCTACTCAATGGGAGAGGTGGATTGAGATCTTCAAAGGCAGGACTTAAGGTATCAATGATATTTTGCCTAAAAATTAATAAACACCTCTATTTTGTTAAATAGTGGACAGAGCAAATCAAACACTGAACAAATGCTTCAAGAAGATCCAAGGACTTCTGTGTTTTTCCAGTTCACAATTCTTTCCCCAGTTCCAACATTACATTTTGACACTATTTAAGTATGTAAGTGCTTCTTACTTCTTCCATCTAGGTCTTTTTGAAAGTGCATCTTTTGAGAGTGTTGACATGTTGCTTGTTAACTTCCTTTCCTCATATCCAGTGTGGATATGCTGAAAATTTATTTATTCTTAGACTGTGATATCATCAGCACATGTGCAAAAATCCAAGGATTAAGAACTCCCCATTGCATTCTGATGCAGCACTGTGATGCTAGCTGCAGCTGCTTCAGCATGAGTTCGATCCCCAGCCAGGGAGGTGACCCACATGGCGTGGCAGACCTCTCCTGTCTTGCCCACTGCTCCCCTCAGCAGTGTACTTTGTCCATCTGCCTGTTCTGCTCACCACAAATTTCCCATTGCTCCGATGCTAGGTTTTGGGAAGGGCATGTTTAACTTCATTGTTTTTTGGTAAGTTTCCTGGTCTCTCTGGAGTTAAGATTTCTCCTTTCTCAAGGCTCATCTCCAGATCCTTATCATTCATTCAGTAATGAGTGAAGAATTTGTCATCTTTCAACTCAGAGAGGCAGTCTAAATAGGACCTGGAATTTGACAGGCCTGGTTTTTAATCCAGGCTGTGCCACCACTGTTGTGTAATCTGGCTAAATTTCTTTGCCCTGTATCTCATTTTCCTCATGTATGAAATTGTTATAGTAATATCTACTTCTTATGGTTTTATGAGTGTTAAGTAAAATTATATTTGGAATGTGTTTATCACAATGCATGGTTCATAATAAGTAATCATTATTCATAAAGTTATTTAGTTAAGTGATTGGGAGCCTATGGATGTTTTCATTTTGGAGTCTTAATTCTGCTTAGCTTCCAGGCTGTTTCTCTTCTACCACATCACTTCTAACCTGTGCCATCTCTAGCCTCTGCAGAAGTTTCTGATGAGTTGTCACAGGAAAGATATATCTATCTGGGAGCCTGGAGCAGCATAGATTAGCCACATTCTACTAGCACATCTGTTTTTGTTTCTCTCAATCCAAAGTAATTTGAATTAGTGAGAAAAGTAAGATGATTTATAGACTCCAAGATGCTCTTAAAATGTGAATGAGCACTATTATCTTGCCTTTTGCAAAGCAGTTTTTATTTATTAGTTTTGTAAGCTTTAGGGACCAAAGATAATTATTTTGAAGCAACTAAATTTTCATTTAGAACACACTGCACAATTTTCCTGCATTACATTACATGGAAACACTTAGCAGTGAATGTCTTATTAATTCATCATTCAACACATGTTTATTGAATGTCTGCCATTTAGAACAGAAAGTGAGTTACACGCAGAAGAAATATGGAAATCAGAGAGAGAAGTCAAGAGAGATTGTAGATTCATGAATTGTTTTCAAGAGGGGTCTTTGATTAGGCCTTTATAACCTTATTGTCCCCTTCGAAGTCCATTTCTCATCTCGATAAACATTTTTGGTGTTCTTCAAATACAATGTGTATTTTCTTCCACCTTTATTTACTTCATGTCTCTCCAGCTTTTTTCCGCCATGTCTGTATCTCAAGAGATGCTCATGCTTCAAATCCTAGTGAGCAGGACTTTAAAAAAGTCCTTTCTACTATGTTGAATATTATTCATTTTTCTATGTTTTGAATCCCAATAGCATTTAGTCTTATCTGTATTATGGTACCACCATTTTTTTTTTTTGCCTTACATTGGAATTATATGTGTGTTTACTCTTTCCCCGTAGGTGTGTAAAGACTATTAAGGAAGGATTTCTACACAATGACTAGTGCATTGAATTATATACATTAAATGCTCATTTGACCAATAGTATATTAGTGAATCCTATGGGCTGGAGATGAGCCTTGAGAGGAGGACAGGATTTGGATAAAAGCAGGAAAAAAGAACATTACGACAGGTGTAAGGGAGAAAAACACAAGATTCAGCTTGGAGGCTTAATGCCCAGATTTGTTTCTGGAATTCAGGTCTGTAGGAGGGGAGTAGACAGTGATGCAAAGGGGCTCCATATATTTGTTCTCATCCTAGTGAGACAGCGTGGAGACTTGGTGGTGGCTGCATTGCTCCTGGGATGCGTCCTATGGATCAGCCACTGTCCAGCTGGCTGTGCAGCTTCTGTCCACATGCACATGTCTAGATCAGACCACACCGTTCCATTCCAGGCAGTAGCCGGTGATTAGTATGCTCTCTGTGTTTCTGGACAGAACAGATGTGGGTCTGCTTTTTTCTGCCTAATGATGATGGCAGGTTCCCAGTGATCAAGATCCAATTTCACATTTTCTGAAATGCTGCAGCTGAGAAATTCTGTTTGACTTCTTCTGAGACCAGCCTTCCCCTTTGCAGGGAATCTGCCTTGCACATTGGCGCAGATGGAGGGTGTGGAGGGCCTTGCTCAGGTAGGTGTAGCTGGTGACTGAAAGGAGTACTGAGTATGGCCTTCACTCTAGTATACTTGCTTTTCTGTATTCTTTTCTCTCCTACTAACAATAGCAGCTTTGCTCACCTGGCAAATCCATTGCTACAAGAGAATACTTGGAATTGAAGCATCGTGTTAGCTATTATTTTAGTGATGGTTAATCAGGTCTTTTCTTGTAGCACATGATTTTGGGGGCGGAGGAGAGAGAAGAGATAAAATATGGCTGGGCAGGAAATACAGATTCAGAACCTTAAAAACTGTCCCAAGATCTCATACCCTGTGGTGGTTTTTCTTTCTGTGTCTGCACATCCCCTCCCCCACTCCAAGCTTTACTGAGATATAACTGACACATAACACTGTATAAATTTAGTGTGTATATTGATTCAATACACATATATGTATATTGCAGAATGATTACATATCATTATAGTATCATCTCTAACATCATCTAGTAACTGTTTCTTTTTTGAGTAAGAACATTTAAAATCTGTGCTCTTAGCAACATTTAAGCATAGCATATAGTTTCATTAACTATGATAGTCATGCTATTCATTAGTTCTCCATAATTTATTTTTCCTATACCTGGGAGTTTTTACCCTTTGGCTAACACTTCTTCATTTTCTCTACTTTCCATTTCCTGGAATCACAATTCTGTTATTGTTTCTGAGTTCAAATATTTTAAAGCTCCTATGTAAGTGACAATCATAGAGTAATTATCTTTTATTATATGACTTCTTTTACTTATCACACTGCCCCTAATGTCTACCCCTGTTTTTGCAAGTGGCAGAATTTTTCTTTGTTATGGCTATATAATATTCCATTGTGTGTGTATCACATCTTCGTTATCCACTCATCTTTTCATGAACCCGAGGTTGTTTTCCTATCTTGGCTGTTGTGAGTAATGCTTCAGTGAGCATGGGTATGCCTGTGTGTTTTTGAGTTGATATCTTCATATTTTTAGGATGAATACCCAGAGGAATAACTGGATCCTATAATATTTCTATTCTTAAGTTTTTGAGAGACCCCTATACTGTTTTCAAAATTGTCTGCTCCAATTTATATCCCCATTAATAGTGTAAAGGGATTTGCTTTTCTTCTTATCATGCCAAAATTTGTTTCTTATCTTTCTGATGAAAGTTATTCTAACAAGTCTAAGGTAATAAGTTGTGATTTTGGTTTGCATTGCCTACCTGATTAATGATGTTGGACACCCGTTCCTTGTTAGCCATTTTTAGATTTTTTATAAATTCAAATCGTTTTCTAATTTTAAAATCAGTTATTTTTTGTTTACTTAGTTGTAATAGTTTCTTCTGTATCTTGTATGTTAATCCTTATCAGAGGTATGATTTCTAAATATTTTCTCCCTTTCTCTGAGTTGTGTTTTCATTTTGTCTATTATTTCATTTGCTTTACAAAAAAACTTTTAGTTTTATACAGTTTATGTCTTTATTTTTTCCCTCTTGTTGCTAGTGATTCTGG